TTTGATTTCCCATGAGTGCATTCTAAGGAGTAGAATGCATTGTAAATGGTAAGTATACACTTAAAGTTTCAAGGAACTGCCAGATTGTCTCCAGAGCTGCTGCACTATTTTGCCTTCCCTCCAACAAAGTATGAAGGTCCTTATTTCTCCATATACAGACCAACAAATTTTAAGAGCAGTACTAGGGATTGAACCCAGGGCCTTCACACTGAGCTACATCCCCAGCTCTTTTCTATTTTTTGAAACACAGACTTTCTAAATTGTTAAATTGTCCAGGTTGGGCTCAAACTTATGATTCTCCTGCCTCAGCCTCCCACAGTGCTGGGATTATAGTTAAAGTTCTGGAATTTTTTCTTGTTGTTGTTGTTACCAGGAATCAACTCAGGACCTTGTGCTTTCAAGGCAGGTGCTGTGCTGCTGAGCTATCTTCCTGGCTAAGTTTTGGAACTGTATTGAATTTGTAGACTTCTTTGAGTAATACTGCCATCTTAAGGACACTGGGTCTGCCAATCTATGAACATGAACTGTATTTCAATTTATTTAGGTTTTCTTTAATTTCTTCCCATTTATCTTTCATTGTACAAATATTTTACTTCTTTGGTCATTTTATTTTTTGGATACCATTGTAAGTAGAATTTAAAATTTTTTTCTTGGTTTTGTCATTGCTCGTGTGAAAAACACAACAAAAAATTATTTTTTGACAATACTAGGCATTGAATGCAGGACCTTTACACTGAGGTAGATCCTCTGCCCCTTTTAAATTTTTTTTACCATTTTAAATTTCATTTATACTGTGGTACTGGAGAATGAACCTGGGTTTTTTTCCTGGAGCTACATCCCCAAACTTTTTTTATTTTTTATTTGGAGACAGAGACTTACTAAGTTGCCTAGACTGGGCTCTAACTTGAAATCCTCCTGCCTTAGAGTCCCAGAGTGCTGGGATTACAAGTATGTTCAACCACACATAGGTCAACACGGTTAATTTTTGTCATGTACTCTGTATTTATCATGTACTCTGAAACCACTGAACTTATTTATTATTTCTATAATTATTCTTTATTTTTGTGGATTCTATGAGATTTTCTATGTACTGCATAAGATCTGTCATTTGCAAATACTGTATAGTTTTACTTTTCCCTTTCCACTTGGCATGTTTTTTGTTTCTTTTTCCTGCCTAATTGCTCTGGCTAAGACTTCCAGTATAATAGTGAATAATGCCATACTTCCAAAATTGCTATACAGATTTAATACAATCCAAGTAAATATTCTAACAGCATATCTTAGAGAAAACAATCCTAAAATTCATTTGGAACCAGAAGAGACCTAGAATAGTAAAGGCAATTCTGGGCAACCAAGGCAAGGCAGAAGGCATCACAATCCCTGACTTGAAATTATACTACAAAGCTATTGTGATAGGAACAGCATGGTACTGGCAAATAAACAGACCTGAGGACTAAAGGAACAGACTAGAAGATTCAGAAACAACTCCTTTGCCCTGAGCTACATCCCTCAGCTCTTTTTTATTTTTTTATTTTGAGACAGTGACTCACTAAATTGCTAAATTGCCTTCAAAGTTTCAAATCTCTTGCCTTTGCTCCCCAGAGTGCTAGAATCAAAGGTATGTGCCACCATGCTCACCTTGGAATTGTTTTCTAATTTAATTTTCAGAATGTTCTCATAATATACAATAGACTTTGGCTTTGACTTGTATCTTGTGATCTTGCTGAACTTGCTGATTAATACTAATGCATTTTTGTGAATCTATAGGATTTTTTTTGTGTGGTGGTGGTGGTTTTGAGGATTAAACCTAGGCCCTTGTACATGCTAAACAAGTGCTTCACTACTGAGCTACATCCCCAGCTCATTTTTATATCTTTTACTTTGAGACAGAGTCTCACTAAGTTGCCCAGGCTGGTGGCAAAGTCAGAATCACAATAGTCCTGTCTCAGCCTCTCAAGTGGCTGGGATTATAGCCATGTACTACCATGCTGGCCTGCTCCAAAGGATTTTTTTATACCCATGAATTGAAATAGTATTACTTCTAGTTTTATAATCCACATGCCCTTTATTTCTCTTTCATAACTGTCATTACCAGAACTTCTAGTGCAAAGTCAAAGAGAGGTGGTGAGAACACACATCTTTGTTCTGTTGCAGACATATGGCAACACTAAGTATGATCTTAACTAATGCTTTTTTGTGGATGTTCTTCATCATGCAAAGAAGTTCCTTACTTTTCCTTTTCTTGAGCACTCTTTATGAAAGGCCTTGGGTTTTGTCAAATGTTTCTTCTATATATAGTTAAATAATCATGGAATTTTTGTTTCTTAGTGTTTTGATGTATATATTACAGTGATTTTTAGATGTTAAACCAGTTTTTTACTTGTGGGATAAATTCCAGTTACTCACGGTGTGCAATTCCTTCTATGTGCTGCTGGATTTGGTTTGCTAGTATTTTGTTGAAGACTTTCATGTCCATATTCATAAGTGCTATTGCTCTGTAATTTTACTTCTTTGTGATATACTTGTCAGGCACTCTTTTTTGGTGGCACACACCTATAATCCCAGCCCTTGAGAGGCTGAGGCATGAGGATCATTGTGAGTTGGAGGTCACTCTGTAGCCTGGGCTACAGAGTGAGTTCAAGGCCAGCCTAAACAATACAATGAGGCTTTGTCTCAAAAAAAAAAACAAAAAAAAAACAAACCCAAACCCCAAAAACTAGATATTTTTAAAATATGCACAAATATTCAGATCAATGTTTCAGTGTTCTTCCCTGCACATGATTTTAAGCCTCATAAAGAGCCTCCCATGTTGGAAAGAATAAGGGAGCTTTGAGCATTAAAAACGATGGCTGAAGAGTTTGTGTTGGAAAAGAGAAGATTGAGTAGGGGAGACAGGGCGGGGAGAGAAATTTTTTAAAGACCAAACCTCTTTCCTCAGTATCCAAGGAAAAGCGCTAGTGTATGCTTGGTTCCAGAAGACAGAACTAAGACAAAAGAGGAAGCTGCAGGGAAACAGATTTGGCTCAAAAAGGAAGTCCTAAGAGCACATCTCACCCTTTCAGCATAAAATCCATCACAACACACCAAGCATCCGACCACAAAGTGCCATGTGGAAGTGCAGACCTTGCTTCTGTCACAGTCTATTCCTCTCCTTGCTTCACTTCCTCCTTCACGGTATGTTACTCAGCCTTCCTCTGTTACTTCCATCTTTGGGCTTCACTGGGGTGCCCTGAATTTCTACCCTGACCTCAGATGAACAGATCTTGTTTGTAGGATGCTAGGTACTGTCAGAAAAAATATATATCACATGGCTAAAGACATAGTTTCCAGTCTCCAAACTCAGTTGGGGAAAATCTTGTTGGACAGAAACCTGGTTGGTATAGCAAAATACAGTCCCAAATTCCTGAGCTCAGTCTTTCCTCCCACCTCACTGGAGCCTTACTGGAGTTTTGATTTGCATTACCTTAATAGTGGTATTGAGTGTCTTTTTATGTGTCTCTATATCATATGTTTATTTATTTTTATAAATATATATTATATATTTATAAATATATATTTATTTATATTGATATTTTTTAGGGAAATGTCTATTCAAATCCTTTGCCCATTTTTTTTTTTTTTTGTCTTTTTGAGACAGGGTCTCGCTATGCGGTTCAGGCTGGCCCTGAGCTCACTTTGTAGCCCAGACTGGTCTCAAACTCACAATGATCCTCCTGCCTCAGCCTCCTGAGTGCTGGGACTACAGGCATTTGTCCATTTTTGAATTGGATTATTTTTCTGTTGTTACATTTTAAGAGTTCTTTACATATTTTGGATATTAACTCCTTATCAGATATGTGTTTTACAAATATTTTATCTCATTCTATTTACTCTGTTGAGAGTCTTTTTCATACACGAATTTAAAGATTTTTCATGAAGTCCAGCCTATTTTTCTTTTTTTACCTGTGTATTTGGTGTCATATCCAAATCTACTGTTGTTAAGTTTTACTTTATATTTTCTTCTAAAAGTCTATTGTTTTAGACCTGATATTTATGCCTTTGATCCATTTTGTTAGTTTTTATATATGGTGTTAGATAAGGACCCCCTGAGTGCTTTTGGATGAGATGGCCAGTTTCTCCAGCACCATTTGTTGAAAAGACTCTCTTTTCTTCACTCTATGGTCTTGGCAGGCTTCTCAAAAATAATTTTATCATATACGCATATATTCTATTGATCTATGTGTATGCCTTTATGACAGTATTACACTCTTGATTACTATAGCTTTGTAGCTACATGGTGAGACTATCCCCTCCTGCCAAAAAAGAGCGGGGAGTGGTGGCGCATGCCTGTAATCCCAGCATTTGGGAGGCTGAGGCAGAAGGACCTTTGCAAGTTCAAGACCAGCCTGGGCTACAAAGTCAGCTCAAGACCTGAACTGCATAGTGAGACCCTGCCTCAAAAAAAAAAAAAAAGTCAGGCTGGAAGGGTTATCCACATACATATTACCATGACAAACCTCTGGTTCAGTAATAGATTACATCTCACATCTGTTTCCCATACCCCAGTTCCCTATGGCCAGGGCACGAATACCGTGAGACCCACTGTATCTGTTGGGGCAGCGGAGTTTCATGCGTTGGGAGAGGATCCTTGAGATTGTGAAACTCCTTCCCTCTGGGGGTAGGGTAGGGAAGAAAGAGAAAACAAATTAATAAATGGCTCTGGGGCTTATTACCTTTGGCTCTTGCAAAGTGAGCCAGACAGGAAACATTCTGTATCCTCCAAGGTATGTTTACCATTCAATGCCCTTTAACCCAAGTGCCAGTAACCTGCTTGGAAAGCCCGGAATACGCATTTATTTCTCCCACACAGTATTAACCAGGCAACATTTCTTTGTCCCTTCTGCCCCTGCAGGTCTTTTCTTGGGCAGATAGACTTTCTAGGGATTAAGGGTGAAGTCTAGGTAAAATGGTTTCCTTATCCAGCCCTGAGCCCAGAACATAGCAGACACCCAGTAAAGATCTGTTGAGTGAATGACATGACTCATTTAAAATTTTAATAAAGGTGAGGCAGAGGGTTGGTTGATCAAGAAGTGCTGATCATTTGATGGTGCTCCCAAATCAGGACGTTCATTCTCCCTTGGGTTAGGCAAAGCCCCGGACCCCTTGGAGCACAGCCAGTGTTCCTGACATCCCCACTGCCAAGTGTGAACGTGCACAGGCTGGGGCCATGCCAGCCTCAGAATTCATAGCGTTCTCTTGGGGGCGGGGGGCCTCTGGGAGGAGGAAGGGATTTCCTTCCAGCGACAGGTTCCCCACCTTGGGCAGCTCGTCTAGCCGCGGGGCCCGATTCAGCCTGTTGTAGCTGAGATCCAGCACATTGAGCTTGGCGGGCAGTCCCTGGGGCACCTGCTCCAGACCAGAGAAAGACAGATTGAGGGAGTTCAGCGCGCCAGGCCAGACGCACTGGAGGTCGCCGGCGCTTGCGATAGCGCGCAGCGAGTTGTGGCTGAGGTCCAGGCTGTGGGGCGGCACTCCAGCCTTTGCCAGCGCAGCGCACACGCCGCTGGGAGTCTCCATCCCCGCGTTGCGTAGCGCTAAATCCTGAAGGGCCGGGAACTTGTGGGGACAGAGCGCCCCGACCAGCCCGCGCTCACCCAGCCCAGGATTGTCAGACAGGTCTAGGGTGGTGAGGGCTGGGAAACTGCGGATCCGTTTGCAGGCGAAGGCGAGCGAATGTGCCTGGGCAATGCTCAGTACCTTGAGGAGGCTCGGCTGGAGCCACTGCTGCAGCTGGGCGAGCCCGGCACCGCCGGCCGCCCACGACACGTTGCGGAGGCGCAAGGTGAAGATCCCGAGCCCGGAGGCTGGCGGGGGCGGGGGCGGCGGCGTGCCGGTGACTTCCAGGTCCGCCAGCGTCAGCTCCCGGAGGCGGGAGTACGCGAGCACCCGCAGCGCGCCGAGCAGGAGCGGAGCGGGAACCCGCGCGGCCCCCAGGGCGAGCCGCCGCACGCGCAGACCCCTGACCAGGTCCGCGTACCCCCGCGGGTCCGCCTCGGGGTCGACGCGCTTCAGGAGCGGCTCCAGGCTGCGGCCGCCAGCTCGGATCTCCACCTCCACGGCGGCCGTGCACTGCAGGGCGCTGGACCAATCCGGCTGCGGGCCCGAGAAGTTGCAGGCGCAGCGGATGTCCTCGTCGTCCAGCTCGCAGGGCTCGGGCGGTGGCGACTGCGAGGTGCCCGCCGAGACGCGCAGCAGCGACAGCAGCAGCAGCCACAGGCATGGAGCAGGCTCCTGCGAGACCGCGGAGGTCAGGCCACCCACCGCCCGGCTCGCGCGGGCGCCCCGCCGGACTAGCGCGTACTCACCATGGTCCGGAGGCTTGAGAGCGGCGCCGGGAAGGGCCTCCGCGTCTCTCCCGTCCTGTGCAGCCCTCCCGCTTCCAGGCCAACGCGCTTATCTCTTGGGCAGCCCTAGGAGTTTATGTAACTTCAGATGCCACCGCGCCCACCTTTGCACACTGGTCACTGGTCACTGGTCACTTCACTTCTCTTCCTTCCAACCGCCTCCCTCACTTCCCTTCTATAAAATGTTGCAACGAAGGCTGTTGTGGGGAGAGTGACCAAAACAGGAAGGGTTTTTCAGGGTATTTAGGCCGCTTGTGCCAGACAGTCCAGGCAGAGCCAGGATGACTCAAACGCCCCAGGCGGGTCTATTGGGTGTGGGGAAGCAAGGATCCTTGTGCCTTAGGCCAGTGCCCTGCGCCCCATCCCCTGCGAAAACCCCTGCAACTCAGCCTGATTGGTTTCCTTCACTTTTTCCTAGCTTTAGTTATTATTACCCTCTTGCTGACCAAAGCCAAGTTCCTGATTTTCCTCAGGTATTTAAACTGGACGTTTTGTGGGAGATACTGTAAATTTCATCTGTTGACCCCGGAGGGTAGAATGAGGTTCAAGGGAAGGAAGTTGGTGTGAAGGACCACTCTGCTACCCTAAAAAAGACGGGTTCTAGGGCAACCCATTCCGGTCCCCTTCTGTCCCTCTCTCCGACAGAAGCTTTCTTTCCCTCAGTAAGTATATTCTGCTCTTAAAAAAAAAAAAAAAAGAGGGGATGGGAATTTAGCTCAGGGGCACAGCACCTGCCTGGCAAGCTCGAGGTCGTGAGTTCGATTTCCGGTACGAAAAAAACAAAACAAAACAAAAAAACAACTCTGCTAACACACACACACACACACACACACACACACACATATTTTTAGGGCAAGGTCTCACTATGTAGTTCAGGCTGGTCTTGAACTCACTATATAGTCTAGGCTGACCTCAAACTCTGGCGAACCTCCTGCCCCAGCCTTCAAAGTGCTGGGATTACAGGCGTGCTCCAACCATACCAGGCTCTAGTATCTTTCTTAAAAGTGGAGGGGTAGCCTGGCGTGGTGGCTCTGATGTCCTGTCTCAAAAAAAAAAAAGAAAAAAAAGAAAAAAGAAAAACTGGAGGGGCTTTTAGTGGCTAGGTCATTCTATCACTTACAGTATCCATTTTCTGACCTAAAATTGGGGAATACAATGTTTGTAACACAATTTTCCTGTGGGGTTCCCTAAGGTGCCCTTAGGATTTTTTCTCTTGTCCTAAGAAATACAGTGTCTTGACGGCTCTGCGATTTGGCCAGTGGTGTTTTTCCTTTCAGTCTTTTTGTTTTTCAGAGGGATAGAAAGCCTTATTAGCCAGAATTAAAGAAGTACACACTCTAAGAAAATGGAGTGTGGGCCTTCAAGAGGTACCTTATGATCTGCGGCTGGTTGTAGTTACATAGTTTGGAGGTGAAAATCTGTGGAATTTGTAAATTTATAGAAAGTAATGTTCCATTCACATGTGAAAGGCTCATTTTACAGGAAAAAGGCAAGGGCCCAATCTATTGTTTTATTTGTTTATTTATTTATATATGTTTGTGACATATAGTGTTGACATTGTAGGGAGTTGGTATATATATATATACATACACACACACACACACACACACACACCCCTTGGTCTTTTTTACTTCCCTTTCCACTCCTCTCCCTCATGCCTCCCTCCATCCTTAGATCTCCTTCCTATCTGCAAAAGGCCTACCTCCCTTTTTCTATCATCTATCTTTTGTTTTGCTCTTTATTTATACTTTGATTTTCTCATATAAGAAAAACCATGTGATATTTAGCCTGTGTCTGATTTATTTTGCTTAGCATTATGGTCTTCATGGTGCATTCATTGTCCTAAAATGGTGCAAGTTTATTCTTTTTTATGAGTGATTAATGCTCTCCATTGTGTATAAATACATTTTATTTATTCATTCATCTGTTGATAGACATATGGGCTGTTTCCAAGGTTTAGCTATTGTGAGTTGTGCTGCTACAAATGTGGGTGTGCATGTATCACTGATACATATATCACTCTCTTTAACTTTTGCGAAGATACCTATAAGAGGTAAAAGAAGCCAGGCATGGTGGTGCACGCCTGTAATCCCAGCACTCAGGAGGCTGAGGCAGGAGGATTGTTGCGAGTTTGAGACTAGCCTGGGCTACAAAGTGAGCTCATGGCCAGCCTGAACTGCACAGTAAGACCCTGTCTCAAAAAGACAAAAATAAATAAATAAATAAATAAATATAAGAGGTATAGCTCGGTTGAATGGAATTTAAATTTTTAGTTTTTTTGAGAAATCTCCATACAGTTTCCATAATGTTTGTTTCTTTTCCCCCACAACCGTGCCATGATATGTTGCTTTTTGAGTTTGTGATGATAGTCATTATTCCTATAGTAAGATGAAACCTCAGTGTTGTTTTGATTTGTATTTCTCTAATGGACAAAGACTGCTGATCTCCAGTGTGGTTTGAAAAAATGGAAAATTGCATGTATGCTTCTAATCATAGTAAAACAAGTATTCCTAAGATACAGCAAAGTAACAGTTCATATACAGTACTTACTGGTCATTTGTACTTTTTCTAAGAAGTACATTTATATATATATTTACTTATTTTAGATTTTTGAGACAGGGTCTCGCTATGTAGTCCAAGTTAGACTTGGACCCATTAAGTGGTTCAGATGAGCCTCAAACTTGTGACAACCTTCTTGCTTCAGCCTCCTGAGTGCTGGGATTACAGGTGTACAACACCACACCTGGCGCTATTCATTTTAATTGCCCATTTTTATGTTTTTGGTTTTTTGAGAAAGGTCTCACTATGTAGTCCAGGTTGGCTTTGAACTCACTATGTAGCTCAGGCTGACCTTGAATTTACAGCAATCTTCCTAGCTCAGCTTAAGAGCTGGGATTACAGGTATGTGCTGCCATGCATGGTTTCTCAATAGCCCCTCTTTTAACTGGGTCTTTTATTTATTTATTTATTTTTAGTTCATATATATATATTTTTTTCTTTTTCTTTTTTTTTTTTGAACCAGGAATCGAACCCCTGAACTCAGGCTTGCCAGGCATGCGCTTATGCTGCTGAGCTATATCCTGGCCCGGACACTAGTCTTCTGTCTGAAGCTGGTAAAAAAAAAAGTTTCCTCATTCTGTAGGTTGTCTCTTCACTTTGTTGTGTAAAAGTTTTAAATTTGTGGATTCTTGGTGTCATTTCTTGTGCAAATAAGGTTCTGTTTGTGAAATCCTTCCTTATACCTGTGTCTTCAAGAGTTTTACTTACTTTATTTTCCATCAGATTCAGTGTTTCTGTTTCAGTATCTAGGTCTTTGGTCCATTTTGATTTTAGTTCAGTACATGGTGAAAGATATGAGTATAGCTTCAGTCTTTTACATGCTTTCCCAGCACTGGTTTTTGTTTTTTTTTAAATATTTTTAAACAATTTAAATTTATTTTTACTATAGTAAACACTTTTCCTTATACCTTGAAGTCTCTGGTCATCAAAGTTTGTGTATGCCTTATTAACGCCCTTGTTTAATAATTCTCCACATTACTATCGAGAGTTAGAAATACTATGATCAGAGACATTACCATAATTAACAAGACAAAGTGCTATAGTTTCAGGGTTCTTTAGTTTTGTCTTTCTATAGTCAAAGGTTATTAACGAGCAAGCCAATTCCAGCTTAGGTAGTAAAGTGTTTCAAATTCTCCAGTATGGTTTGAAAAAATGGAAAATTGCATGTATGCTTCTAATCATAGTAAAACAAGTATTCCTAAGATACAGCAAAGTAACAGTTTTTAACCATCAAACACATTAAAACTGGGCCATATAACTTGCTACTTAAATATTTGCTTGGCAGAAAAGCGTAAGAAATTAATATTAAGTTGTTTTTCAATAGAAATAAATTTAAATAATTTAAAGGCTTAAAAAACTGGTTCTCAGGTTGGTAAACATTTAATTATCATATACTAATTTTATGACCCACTGAAGCAACAAAATGTTCAAACAGATGGGTACATTTAGTGTAGCAAATTTTATGACTGTGCTGATATAAAAAATATTTTAAAATGTATTAATGAACATAATAAACTTTAATTGCAATAACATTTGTTACAAGAGAAGTCCAATAAATGCCCTAGATGTATATGATAAACTTAAGGTTATTAAAGTAACAGTAATTCCCGGCCTCATGGTTTCCCAGAAGGAGGGCTTCCGGCGCACAGGGAGCTGCGGGTGGGGAGCGCCAGCCTTCTGGCT